GATGAAGAGTATGCCATGGTTGAGACAAGAGTTTCCCATGCCATCTACTGCCACACTCCATGGAATTTCCCTTCAAGCACTTTAAAATTTGCACTGGCCTCTCCACTACTTTGATGTGGGATTCTAGCAATTCTGTGTGAAAAGGTGAGGTATTGATCAGAAGTTAACATTTTCCTATACTGAAAATGTGTTTTAAATAGATACTCACCTTTTCAAACTTTCCCACCCAACCTCCCCACTTCTAGAGCATATTATCTTGAAGTTCTCTTGAGTGCAAGTGCTTAGGGGGACTATTGTGCATGGAAGTTGTGTTGCCTTGCTACTGATGGAAGGCTATTGTCACATGATGAAGACATCATGCACCAGTGCAGTTCATGTTAAACATGTAAATATAGGTGGGAGTTAACTCAAGGCTAGTTGCATGCAAGTCTCTTAGACTGATGGACAAGGCTTATAGCAATTTTGTGTGTAGAGGTGAGTATCTATTGGAAATACAGTGAAAGTATATAACTGATGAAACAATACTTCATCATGAACCACGGTAGTAACTGTGAATATTGTAATATAACTTGGGAAGTATTACTAAATGCATCATTGTGCATTGTAGTTTTTAAGTTATACAGCTGCTGTTATTTATTAGGTATAACCATTGACACCCAATCATTTTAATGTAGTCTGTGGCTTATATGGAGCCTCATAATCTACTACATGCATACATATATAGCTGTGTGCAGGCCATGGATATAATTTAATGCTTATATGGCAGGCATGACTCCATGTCTAAAAACTATAATATTTAGGAGAGTCAAAACTATGTCTCAAATCTTAAGGTTGTTTGTTTACTTTTTTTACAATTGCATTTTCACTTTAAGCTTCCTATCTTGTTTCTGTATTCTTTTGAAGAGCCCTATTTTTCCATTTTAAATTAACAATTTTTAATAATCTTGTTATATTTATAAGTAAGAATTGTATATTTGGATACTTCACTCATTGCCAACCTGATTTATTTTTTTGATTTGATTGGATATCCTGATTTCAGCAGAAGTTTATGATAATACAGTACAAAAAATCCTTATGTAATGTATGTAAACACAGATGATATCTTATTCTGAATTTGAATGCATGCAATATATTTTTAAAGAGCAGCTAATTTTATGGAAAAATTAAATTCAAAGTTGATATACAATTTTTGAACCCTTAAACAAATATTTTTATTTTCCTAATAAGAAAGCTTTCAACCTGTCTATGCAAAATTAATATTTTTCACACAGTTCTCATGATACTTCAATATTTTGTATATTATTTTAGTTACTAAATTAGTACAAGTGAAATTCACAAAGAACATTTTCTGTAATCATGGTATTTTATCTTATATTTGATTACCATGTAATTCAGTTGTATCCATGCATATATACCCTTTCTTCCCTTATGTACATGCAATTATAGTCCATGAAAAATCATTTTTTGTACAACTGTTTAGATTGTATACATACAGTTTTTGTATAATTTTTATGATTTCACAGTTTGAAGAATTTCCAATGTGTCTTTCATACCGACATGGACAGTTGTGGATTGGAGACAAACAAGGCTGGATCCATCTAGTTGATCCTACAAATGAAAAGTTTGAAATTGTTCAGGTATGTGTAGTCTATGCTAGATTTATGTTTTAGCTTTGCTGGTAAGTGAAGTAATTTAACAATGTATAAATTGATATTAATTTCTTTCATTCAGGTATACATAAACAGAATTTTAAATTGGTTGTCTTGTAATTTGAAAGTAGTGGAAAAACACCAACATACTTTGGTTGTCAATAATATCTAACATATTTGCTTGACAGAAAACTATAAATTAAAGTTTGAAAGTCACATTTATGATTAAGCTATAAATTAAGAATAATTATAAAATTCAGAATAATTTATTGGCAGAAAAAATGGGTAATTTTTATATTAAAACTGCTAAATTTTGAATGATAAATATTTAGTATATATTATTTAAAACAGAATAATTGTACAGTGTATTAAATTTTTTTTATTTATTCAGGAAATTTATAATGACCATTTTATTGGTTAAGAAATAGGATTTTAAAAATTGGTGCTTAAATGTGTTCATCTGCAGTGTATTTTGATTCAGAATCAATGAAATTACTTAATTTGTTTTCATTAGTCAGTTGTAATCTGAGCCTCACTTTTATAAATTACATGGCCAGGACAAACCTGAGCATTAAAACCTCTGTGAATAAGACAAGGAGTTTATCTGCTAGGTTTTTAAAGAAGATAGCAAATGTGTTGAGTTACAATAGTGTTCAAGATGTGTATTTTTCATTACATGCAGTGTTCTCCTGTTGTTTAGCTATTATTTATGCTGCTCGAATATGAAGATATATATGTTCAGCTTCATACTAGTTTTTAATAAAAGATTGAAATGTCTGACTAATGAATCTTTATGCATAGTAAAATAGACAAATGTTTATAGAGTTATATGATTCACAAGCTTATTTTCATGCACTCTCAAGTTAAATGTATTGTAAAAGTTAGTTTTTTGCTACAGTTTTTTACAATATGTTTGTCAGTGCTTTAGAAGATAAACAATGCATGTTGTGTCACCAGAGTATGAGCCAAGAAATTGGTGGATCAAAGTAAATCAATACTAAGACTAAGTAACTTGTGTGGGCATTGATGCATCATTTTTTGAAGCCTTGGTTGTTTATGTACAGTTTAATATCAGAATAGATAGTGCAATAGAAACATCTCAAAGACAATGCTATATATCTACTATAACCTAGAGTTTATGGTTTCTGTTTTGTAGAATGAATAGATCTATTAAATTTCTGCATTTTTAACTTTTTCCACCTTGCCCCCATGCATAATTTTGCTTACAATTTTCCTTTTTTCAAAATAACCGTAGATCTTCCCATGATTGGTCTCCCCAATAATCTTTTTTATAGGCCTGTCACCATCTATCACATGGTATTACCTCTATCTGGCCTTTATCTCAATAGCTTCTTGCCATCCATTATCACATTTTCTGTTGATACTTCATGCCTCCAAGAGGTCAGATTTTATGTGAGCATCTGAGTTTTTATTCCTTTTCCCTAAAATTATTCAACTTTGTTTATTTACTGAGAATCACAAGGTTTCTTATTCATTCTCTGAGAATTTGTAAATATTTTTCAAACTTTGGGGATTTATGTTTCTAACATTAAAGTTTTTAGCCTCTCAACATGTTGCCACTTTAATGTAGCATGTTAAATTTGGTGAAGTTTCTCAAGTTAATTTTCCAGATTTTTGAGTGAGGCTAATTTTAAGGAAGGTGGTTATGATTTTGCTTTTGACCCTTGATGTGCAGATGGTGGTTCGTGGCCAGAATTTTCTTCTTCAGATTTGTTAGTGGAGCTTGGTTTTTTTTGTTCTTTTCATATTTTGGGAGTTTGGACTGAACATCATTTCTATTTGTGCTCTTAGGATTAGGTGAATAGAGGTTTCAGTCAACCTTAATTTTTTTTTCCGTCTCCAATTTTATTACAGTCATAGATTCTATAAAACGTTTGGTCTTATTCTAGTGGTTACCTTAGTTCCTTTTCTAATATCTCTTTCTTGCAGATTCAGCCAGTATTAATCTTTTTGTTTTGTTTCAGGATTGGGGAGCAGCTACCAACTTTTTGTTCTTTATCAAAGTTGAATTTTTTTCTATTTATCTTTGGGCTTGCAACATTATAATGGTCAGTGGAATGTTTTAATTTTTTTTTATTGACTGTGGTTGCAAATAGTTGTGGATTCTCCATCTACAGGTCTGATGGTGGGAAAAATTGGTTGAATAAGTGTCTCAATGGAGAAAGAATGAACTGATCAATCATTTAGCTCTTGAAATTTTGGGTTTCAGTTTACAGAGGAATTAACTATTGCAAAGTTGTTTTGTCAGGACAATTCTGCTTGAGTGAAAGTTTTGCAATATATTTTAGGTTATAACCCATAAAATTTAAGATCTCTTTCTTGTTTATAGTTGTTTTGCCACAGTATATTGACGTTTTATCATTATCAGTTTCTGATGTAGTTTGTTATTCACACATTACTCAAAGGATTTAGCTATTCTTTTTTTTGTTTGGTGCTACAGTCTTACCACACAGGTCATTCCGGAAAGATCACTGGGATTCAACACTCCCTCGGAAGTATCATAACATCTTCCACAGACAAAACCATCAGAGTGCTTGAGCCCTGTGCAAATCCTGAAGTTATAGCAGTTCTGCCTGGCTGTGGAGAAGTAACTGGGGTGGGTAATTTTTACTATTTGTTGGCTGTTAAAAACTGAAATCAACAATGTGGAGTGAAAATATTACATTAATTTAGCAAATAATTTAATGTTTTGAAAAAAGATGTTGAGAAACAGCTGCTGTATAAGCATGTCATTCACCTGCTTGAAACCAATAGTTATGGATCTCTTGATATAGGCTGATTTCATATATCTCTAAGATTAAAGTATCTTGTAAATACAACACATTTTATTTATAAAAAAACATTTTTAATTCTTGGAGAAAAAGGTATAAAAGTGAAAAACAATTGAAGAAGTTTAACTTTTATTAGAATAACTGAAATTTGAAGTATTTGTAGTAATGTTCTGACATTTTTACTGTTAAAGTTGTGTGTAGTCTTTGAAACTTGGGCATCTCAAGGTATACAAATATTGAAGATTCTCCATTCTCGTAAAATTTGACCTCACAAAATCATACATATTTCAATAAGGGAAATTGAAATTTGTCTTGTTGTATTTGTAATATTGCTATTAAAGTATTAGTTAATGAAATACAAAACATTACTGTAGAAACATTAATTTAGATTCCAGTAAATGATTAACAGTATAAAACCTATTAGTATCAATATAAAATATACTGCATGATAAATATGTAACTTGCAAAACATATTTAACTCTGCTGACACTATAAAACATATTATTATCAATCTGAAATATACTGCATGATAAGTATGTTACTAGCAAAATGTACATACCTCCACTGACACTATAGCAATTTCTCATTCTCCAGGGTTTCCACTCTTTGCCCATCTAAACATTGAAAATGCTTGCTCCAGTCTCTTATACTTCACTCAATTGCCCCTGGAAAATTCTAATTTGCAAAATTTTACACCAACTTCAATGCATCCTCTATCTAGGTACTGTATATAAGCACCTCATTCAGATAATGTAATCACTTTTTATTGACAAAGCATTTGGCACGGTTATCTATAAATAAGAGTGTTGTGATTATTTGCAGTTTATTTTGCGAATTTAAATGTGGTTAGCGTTACTATGGGTATATCTTCGTTTATAGTTACTGTAACAAAAAAAACGTATCGATGGGTATGAATTCTTGAGTTAATGTGTCTATTACGGAGACCATCCAGACCTCTTCTCTTCTACCTCTGTTATCTGGCGTTTTTCAATGGCCAGGAGAGGAGTCACTCTCAGTCAAGGCTGTTCATGATATGATCCATTACGAGATGGATACATATGCAGACCGAGGGTGTCTTTCCGGTGGGTTCTAAGGTGGCTTTTGCAAATGACCCGGACCAACTGGGGAGAGCTTAGACTCACTTTTTCTGGCTTTTTCTTTTACTAGGTAGGCCTCAACAGAGGATCATTTTGATCAGCCACGTCCAGCCCTTTTCTTCAGTTGGTTACTCGGTTTGTGAGGAGTCTCTCCTATTGCATTTGACTCTACTCCTATCAGTACAGAGGGTCGACCACGTTCTTCCAGGATTTTATTCCCATTTAATCATTGTACCCAAGAAGACAGGAGATTGGGGTTCAATCATTTATCTGACTTTACTAAACCAAATGACTACTTGGTTTTTCCTCCTTCTTCTGATATTTCTGTTCATGCTGGGAGATTTGTTGCTCAGTTCCATGATGGGATAGCTATGCCCATCCCCCACATTTATCAGAACAGCATGGTTTAGCTTATCACTGCCAGGAGGAGATATATTTAGATTCTCAATGAATGGACCCCTGTTTGAACCTGTGGGGGTCTCAATTAGAACCTGTGATCACTTTAAACTGATCCCTGTTTTCTCAGATTCGTCTTACTCTCACGACTATCCTGAGGTATTTATTTTCGATCCAACTATTGTCAGAAGCCTATCATTGTTTCCCTCACCAATTTGAGGACGAGTTAGAGACTTTGCTGTCATCTATCTCAGTCAGATTGTCTTCAGTTCTTGGCTGGTTTGTTGTTGGGATTTATTGGGTACAGTTTCTTTGTTAGAAAGTATTTGTTTGTTTATTGTCTTCTGCTCTTGGGGAGTTACGGGAACCTCTTTTTCTCTTCCCACGTTGTTTGCTGGAGTTCCAGAAACATTAGAATCAAGAATTGATACAGTTCATTTACATTCTTCTTTATCATCACTGGCTTCTCTCCTTTCTGGTGCTAATTTGGGAGTGTTAGCTCGTAGTGTTTCCTGACCACCTCATTCAGTTCCCAGGTCTATTGGTTCCTATAGTAAAGTTAATCCATATTCTCGAGGATCTTCGGCTCAGATGGACCATTGACAATGGCATTGGGGATTATCGCATGTGTGAGGGAACAGTGGAAGCATGTTTACATCATTTTCTAGACATCAGGAGTTGTTCTTTCACCAGGTATCCATGGGTATTCCATGTTCTGGCTTCAGGGTTGGTCATTCACTTTACATCACTTCCACCTTTATCTGCACAATCTGTTGCCTTTTCACCTTCAACAGTTCCATGATGAGTGGAGCTTCGTTCCCAGGCCATAAGAGATTTGTTAGTCAAAAGGCAATACAGAGGGCTGATCACATTCTTCCAGGATTATTCCCATTTAATCGTTGTACCCAAGAAGACAGGAGATTGGCATTCAATCATCTATCTGACTTTACTCAACCAAATCCTAGATCCTCCTCTCTTTACTATGGAATCCTTTCTCAACCTACGATGGCACTTTGCACCAGGACTCTGGATGTTCAAGTTCAATGTTACCAACGCTTATCTCCATATTTCCATAGCAGAATCTTCCCGAGTGTTTCTCAGACTTGGGCACAAGGGTCAGGTGCTGCAGTTCGGGGCTCTACCTTTTAGTCTTGCGTCAGCACCTTATGTCTTCTGCAGAGTTGCTCGAGTTTTTTCTCGTCATCTGCATTCCTTGGATCTGGGCACACATCATTATACTGGCACTATCCCGTCATTTAGCAGAACAACACTCTTAGATTCTCTTTTCAGACACCACAAAAGCGAGCTTCCTTATCAGACTGGAGAAATCTATTCTGTCACTGACACAATATCTTGCCCATCTAGGTGTGTTTTTCAATACTCAGGTGTGTTTTTTAATACTCACTTAAGTCGTGCTCAAACAACCCCTCTCAGGCTTCAAACCATGCAAAGAGCCATCAGGCTTTTACTTATGTCTCCTTCTCCTACTGCATGGATGGTTTTCTCTCTTTTGGGTGTGTGGGCATCCCTCGAGCCGCTCAATCGTTTGAGATGAGCACATATGATGTCCCTTCAGTGGTCACTGCACAACCAATGGATCATGCGTTCCAACCCTTTGGATCATCCTGTCTCATTACTCAGGAGCAACATTTTCAATTGTGAATGTTGATTGGATGGAACAATACCACTATTGGGGTACCCATTCCACCACTTCATCCCAAGATTCGTCTTTTCACAGATGCATCTCTACAAGGTCAGCAGTTCCAGGGTATTTGGACAGAAGACGAGTCTACCCTCCATATCAATTTTCTTGAATTCCTTGCAGTACACAGGGCAATGGTTCAAGGTCTGTCTCTCTTGAGGGGAAAAGTTGTCATAATACATTCAAACAGTTCCATGGTGGTATCTCATATTTCTCATCAAGGGAGCACACATTCTTGAGATCTTTGTTTTCATACCTTGGATCTTCTCTACTGGGCTCATTCCAATCACATCAGTCTTTTAGCATATCATGTTCCAGGAGTGATGAAGTTAATTGCAGATCATTTGTCTCAACCTAACCGGAGTCTTCCAACGGAATGGATGCTACGTCACGAGGTTTTTCAGTAGATTTGCTCTCAGTTCGGATCTCCAATATCTTCTCCTCAAACGTTGGCAGTAGATGCATTCAGTCAGGACTGGACAGGTTTCCATCTGTATACCTATCCCCCAATTCAGTTATTGCCCTCGGTTTTGATCATGGTTTGTTCCACTCCCTGTTGAGTTCTCTTGGTTGAACCATATTGGCCAACTCAAGTGTGGTTTCTGCTTCTTCGGTATCTGCAGGAATGTCCACCCATACCTCTTTCACATTGGCAGTCTGTGAGACAACCTCAATTAGACATTCTCCACCCAGATGTTTGGAAACTCAGTCTTCATGCTTGGAAGTTATGTGGTCCTTTGCCTGACATAAGGGTTTAATTTCTACAGTTTTTCTGTAATTAACTATATTTCTCCATAGGCCAGCCAAAGCCGTTTTTCAACAAAAATGGTATACTTATCATCAGTAGTGTATTAAAAGGAATTTAAACCCTTTTCATCCTAAAGTGTCTACCATATCCCATTTTATGACTTGGGTATTTGAGAGGGGTCTTGCTTCATCTATAGTGGCTTTATATAAGGCATCCTTATCCACTATTTTTCAGTATTGCAAATATTGGAAGGTTTTTGAATCCTCAGTACTATCAGATCTACTCAAATCTTTTTGTATTCTTCGACACAAACGATCTTTCCAATTACTGAATTGGGATTTTTACAGTTGTTTGACATGCATCGTATTTTTTGTTGTTGTTGACTTGTGGACGTTGTCAGTCAGAGTTGTTTGCAATCCATGTGCTTCAAACTCTTTATCATTCCACAATTGTCCTGCTTTACCTTGGTAGGTCTTTTCTTCCCAAGACTGGCAGCTAGAGAAGGGGACAGATCCTTCTCACCAACCTACTTACTAGCCATTTCTCACCTTTATGACTACTCCAATCCTGACCATTTGTTATGTCCTGTTAGGGCCCTCAAGTGTTATGTAGCTCATATTAATTCATTTTGAGGTAGTAGGAATCATTTGTTCATTCATTGGAATCCTTCTATTTCCTGTGACTTATCTCCCGTTACCCTAATGAGGTGGCTTCGTAAATTCATTCACATGGCCTATAATGGATTATCGTTACAGGAGAGGAATATTTTATGTGTCACATCTCACCAGATTTGTCATATCTCTATGTCAATAGCCACCTGGTTGAATTTCCCTCTGGAAGACATTGTGCAGTCTGGTATGTGGATTACTCCTAATACTTTCCAATCTCATTACTTACATGAAATGGCAGTTTCTCTTCTGAGGGATTTTGACTAACCCCTGTAGCTATTTTGACCACATCTGTTAGATTTTAACCAGAGGTGAGTATTTTCCTCAGTCATACTTTTTTTTTCCAGGGTTCCTCTACTGGTGGAGCTTGGGAGTCCTTACCACCCTAGTTTCCAGTCGCTATGGTGGCAGACAGAGGTTTTTCCTTCAGAGTGTTCGAGTGTGTTCCTCCACTCTTGGAGAAGAGAGCAAAGTTGGGGGCCTTCCTACTCAGGTCTCAGATATCGGTAGGAGTGTCACCAGCCTCTGTGAGTGCCTACTCATAATTTCGATTCAGATTTGACACAATGCTATCCAGTTGGGGGGTGCATGGCTCTTCTCTTTGATCAATGTTGGTTTCGTAAATTGTTCATGGAAGGTGGTCCACTATCTCCTCATAATTCCAAACACAAAGTGGTCCCATCCTAGGTCCTTGGTTGAGTGCAGGTTCCACATCCTTTCCATAATTCCAGGGACAAGGAATACTCCTTATCCACTTGGTTTGGGAGTATGGATGAATGTTCATAATTTCAAACCAGATGAGTTCTGTTCCTTTGGTTAAGTACGTCATACATGATCTCGTCATTACGAGCCTTTTGGACTTCTTCAGGTAGAGGAGAAAGTTTGTCCACTTCAGTGTTGCTTACTTTCTCGTTGTGATTCTGGTGGTGCAAAATGCATCACTATGGCTACAGGTTGGGATCCAATTAAAAGTATATATAACATTGTGGTTCGATAGCCCTAGCCACCAATGTGGGATATGGGTACCAAAACCCCTTAATTCCAACCCTGATTTGTTGAACCTCGGCTATCTGGTTGGGGCTGGCCTATATTGACGATTACTAGTATTCTATACCACCTTTGATATAGGAACTGAGTTCCTGGTGAAGAGCATACCTGTTCTGGATATAGTGCAGTTCCCCCGCTCTTGTACCATCTTTATCTTGGTACACTTCTGTTCTATACGAATGCTTTAGGTATGGTTCATGCTTGCACTGGCCCCTCCACCTTCTCAATGTGGGATTCTAGCTATAGTGTCAATGAAGTTAACATTTTCCTAAACTGTAAATGTATTTCCAATAGTACTTACCACTGCGTACACTCTCCCACCCTACCTCCCCACTAAAAGCCAGTTTATGTCTCGAAAAAGGTGATTACATTATCTGAATGAGGTGCTTATATACAGTACCTAGATAGATTGTGCATTGAAGTTGGTGGAGAATTTTGCAAATTAGAATTTGCCAAGTGCATTCAAGTGGGGTATAAAAGACTGGAGCAAGTGTTTTCAGTGTTTAGATGGGCAAAGAGTAGAAACCCTGGAGATCGAGGAATAGCTATAGTGTCAGCATAGGTAAGTATTATTGGAAATACATTTTGTGCAGTCAATGAAAAGAGCAAATTTGAAGTTTAGATCCTAAACATACTGGTTTTTATACCATATACTATGGTAGCAGATACGTTATTATTAAATGAGAAAGTAAAACTAATAATCTACCATTATTGTTCACTGTGCTACTGATAAATATCTTAGAATTGGATGAAATGTTTTGTTTAACAGTATAATCAGTAGCAAGACACATTGGTTATGCATAGCAAAATTACAAAAAAGTGTGATAATTACAATCCTGTTTCATGCATAAATACTTTACCAAACAGTTTTGTCAACTGTCATATTTACTTGTTTTTTTCTGCTTTATTTACAGCTTCTTGAATTTTCTCATATTTTGTTGATTTTTTTTTAAAAGTTAAACTAAAGGTGAAGTTATTCTTCATTTACTGAAGACTAGTGTATATGTGTATTTTCTGGGATATAAAGTGAGTAGAATAAAAAACAACCAAAACAAATAAATTACTTTCACTTTGGAATATGTTATTGTACAGTTGTAATATCATAATCAGATGTCTTTTCTATAAAAGGAAATGTTTTTTTACAATTCTTACTTCCTGTCATGGAAAAAAATTAATATCTAATATCTTCATTTTTACTCTTATTTTTTGGTGCATAATTTGTATAATTTTATTATATTTTAATTCTCAATTTCATATAAATATATATAAATTTCTATATTTTTAAAGTCAGAAGACACTCAATGGCTTGGTTATACGAATTGTATAGTATCGTATTAAGGTATGTCATACTGTCAGGACACTTGACAGTGAATCATATAGTACTGTATTAGGTATGTCATATTGTAGGCAGGACACTTGACAGTTTCGTTATATGAATCATATAGTACTATATTAAAGTATGCCATATTGTGGCAGGACACTCGACAGCTTGGTTATATGAATCATATAGTACTGTATTAAGGTATGCAATACTATGGCAGGACACTCAATTACATGGTTATATGAATCATATAATACTATATTAAGGTATGTAATGTTGTGGCAGGACACTTGATAGCTTGGTTATATGAATCATATAGTACTGTATTAAGGTATGCAATTGTCATGATATAAAAGACTGTTTGTTTTAGATATTAGTGATTGATTTATATTTGTGAATGAATATTTTATTATTTTAAAGTTTTGTTATAATAAGAGTTAAAAGCAGATGATTGTAGAAAGTTTTGTTAATAACTAATTGGTGTCGAGAATATAGAAAGTGGCCAGACAACAATGTAATAAAGATATAAATAGTGTGAGATGAACAGGAGACAGTAGACAGACAGTATTAGACAGATAAAAGCAAAGAGAATATAGTTGGTGTGAAGTTAAGTAATGTAAAAGTGATAGGCCTAACGACTGACATCGGCCTAATGTTTGATATATATATATATATATATATGTATATATTAGAGTGAAAGTAACAGTGGAAAATGAAATAAGAAAAAATAAGTTTATTCCGTCAAAGCGAAATTCTAAAGTAACTGAATCAACCTGAGTGCACTTTGACAAAAGAAACATAGGATCTTCAGAATAAAGAAGACCACAATCTTAAGTGAATCACACCAGACTAATACTGTGATAGTATTAGAGAAAATAGTTTGGTTTGTCAACTGAGATTCTAAAGTAATTGAATAGGCCTAAGTGGACTTTTGACAAGAAGAGGAGAACTATACATATACTGATATAACATTTACGATATGCTTATATTTTCTATAGTGTGAACACTTTATTGTACATACGTTTAATTTGTTCCAAATATATATATTATTTGAAAACAAGTAGTGTGTGCGCTGTTTATTCATTCTTGAATTTATTGCTAAGAAGTCAGACATCTACTGTAGAAAAATCCTAAACCCAACAACTACATAGTATATATTTATACTATTAGGAAATACAAGTAAAAGCCATTTATTTTGACATTTGGCAAAAAAACACCAGAACCCATATACATACATAATTTATTTTTTAATCTGACAGTGATACTGTGGCAGGACATTCAATGACTTGGTTATATGACTCGTATAGTACTGCATTGAGGTATGTGATACTGTGGCAGGACACTCAAAGACTTGGTTGTGTGAATCATACAGTACTGTATTAAAGTATGTCATATTGTGGAAGTCTAAAGTAAGATTAATATTGTAGAAGTATTTTCCACTGTCATATTCAAAAAATGACAATGATGATTTAGATAGTGTTAGCCAACCAAATGGCTTAGCATGCTTCTTTTGGTGAGCGTAAACATATTTAAACTGTGTAAATATTTTATTTTTTAATGTTTGAAATCATGTTTTAGTGTTTGCTTTGTTTTGTGAGGGGAACTATTTAATAATGTTTGATTCATCAGTTATGCTTGGAATAAATGTTACGTGCTTCAGTTGTATAAAACATTAATTACAGTAATCTATTTTCCAGGTTTCCCTACACAACCACACCTTAGTTAGTGCTGACAGTGACAACTCCATCTATATCTGGACTCCTCTGGCTGAGTGATTTAGTTAGCGATCAAGACAATTTTTTTAAATATATACTTCTAAATGTAGTTAGTTAATTTATTAATAGGAAACAAAGTGTAACTAATTCATACCATCTAAACACAAGTGATAACATATAACCAGCAGCTTATAACATAGTGAATATTGTTAGAAAGGAATTTGTGAAGGTACTGTACTTAAGGTTTTTATTTTGCAGCACTCGTACACTCACTTAAGACATGCATTTATTTTTATTTTTTGTTTTTTAATTCTTACCTTAATATTAGGTTGATTTTTATATCTTCAGAAATGTTTTTACATTGTACTTCTGAGAAGATTAAAGTCTTTTAAGGTTTATGCCTTTGACTAATATATCAGTAATATTAAAATTGTTACATTTATGAATCTTTATCATTACAAACTGTATAAGAAAGTTGTAATTTCTCCTATATTATTCTTATTTGTGACTTTTTGAGTGTGAAAAAGGCCTAGCATGGCCCATTGGTTAGTGTGACAGACTAACTGTGGAGCTGAGATTTCATGGTTCGTGGCTTCTCACCACCAAAAAACAGAAACAAATTGTGCTTTGCACAATGGGACTGTGGGTGAATCATAAGAGTGACAATCATATCTCACTATTTGGTCTGACAAAAGTAGTCCAACAATTGGAGATGGATTATTGACTAGTTGTTTTCTCTCTGGTCTATCACTTCAAATTTAGGTACTGCTAGTACAGATAGCCCTTGAGTAGCTTTGCACAAAATTCAACAAACAAACAGTGACTGTAAAAGAAAAACTATTATTGTTCAACTATGACAAATATTAATCCTTAATTTTTCTAGTAAAAACAATATTTATAATTTTTGCATTAGAGAAAAGAGTAATTCTAATTTGTTGTTTATTTAATCATCTTTTAAGTTTTATTAAAAGTCACTGAGAAATATAGGATAATTAAACTTGTATTGGTAAAGCCTTAATCCTGGAGTTACACCTTTGGAACTGACTGCATAAACTTAATGTCTTATATCAGTGTTTTGTAAGTTATATTAAGTTATTTTTGTTGTTAAACCATATAATTTAAGCTATGACATATAAAAGTTAACTCTCGTAATAATTCTGATGTTTATTTTTTCTAATCTGTTATATGTGGATTGTCGTGAATCAAATAGAATGAAATAAAGTCCATTTTATTGTATTACTACCATGCAGAGTATTACACCTGAACTGCTCTCTAAGTCTGTTTTGAGTAGATTATTTTAAAGCTAAATATTATCACTTTTTTACTGTGTTATTTTTTCCACTAATTATCTGGTAGCCGTGTCTTTTCTTTGAACTACACTAATTTAATTATATATCTGAAGTAAGCGTTTGATCTGTAATACAACAAAAAGCCACTGATTATGAGAAAAATTCAGGTGATAGGTTATTCTCTTTCTTGTTTATAAACGCTTTCTAATATTTTATAATTTTTATTAATGTTACTAAAAGCTCACGATTGTTATTTGATGGAGTTCAGCCTTCCTTAAAAGTTATTTTGTGCTTATGTTAGCGTAATGCTCTAACAGTTAGCCATCATAGGAATTCCTGTAAAAACAGGAAAGAATATTCAGTACAGAAAATAATTCATTATTTCTGTGTGTGTGAAGGAGCTCCCCAAACTATATGTAATAAATGTAACTATTAACACTGTACTCTTTGTCAGAACAGTGAATTTAAGCATTTTATTTTACATCCTAGAATAATTCAGTGATATGTTTACATTCTAGAATCTGTTTGATAGGATATCTGAACACATGGTTTTTTCATACTACCACTATAAATTAGTATGTTTCAATACAGAATTGCACATTAAAAAGAGAAAGAGAAGAGAGTCACTTAGTGATTTAGATTGAAGTTCATTGTAGCTCATAAGATGAAATAAATTTGTAATTAAAAGTAATTGAGGATACTGAGATTTTAACTTTTTTACCAGTTTCTAGTATCTTTTTAATTACTTTAAGAGCAATTACTATTGACTTAAAGTTGTTTTAATGTAATTCTGAGAAAAGGTGAGTTATTCAATTTGTTTTTTGTGTTGCATATAATAGAATCTGTTTATTTGCAAACGAGACCAGTAATAAACATTCTTGGGCATTTTTATTAAAATTGAGCGTAATATTTGTTATTATTTATAATCATGTGTTAAAATAGGCTAATCAACTTTTGTTTCTTGCATAGCAAATAACTTAAAAAAGTTTCATTCAAAGAAACAAAAGGTAGTTGGTAGGTCTGACCAGTTAATACTAACTTTTCATGCTTGTGGTTCCTATCTGCAAATTATTAGAATCATTAAATTCTATAAATGTCAGAATTATTTCTAGACGTTTGAAAAACCTTTTGAGGACAGTCAAAATGTTGAAAATATTTTGAGTCAGCACTGACTCATCAACTTTTGTGATAACAACAAACATGACATGACTTTTATATAAAAACAGATATAGGTTATTTAAAACAAGTGAATAAACAGATCATTTTTGAAGTAAGAACATACAGACTGGAAATATAAATAACCTCTTGTGTTTTAAATAAAACTGTGTGTGTGTGTGTGTGTGTATAAGTGTTTTTTAGGTTATTAGTAAATATTGAAAATACTAGTGTATGTTTGGTATAATATAAGTCATTGTTAATGATGAAATTCATTTGAATATAAAATTTTCTTTTTTTTAAACATAAAATTACTTTCTATTTGCTATCTGAATATGCAAATTTATTAAAATATTCATTAATAAATTATACAGTTGAAAAAATGAAACATTTGAACATGCTGAACTGCTGTTGTTCAGCACAGGTCACACACTTTTAGTGTTTTAAATAAGATTTGGTTTTATTAACTTTTAGCAGTTGTTAATATTGAGGGATTTTTATTTCAAAAATTTTTTGACATAAAAGAAATTTATTTGATGATTATTAATAGTTTTACATCTACTTATGATAAGATGGTGGTGATAAGGTATCATTTGTTGTCATGGTTAGTAGTCTATTCGACCACCTAGATCTCATTATTAATTAGTTAAAATTTTTTTTATTATTACTGAATACTAATTACTAATGATTCTATATCATATTTTTCAGCTGCTGACGATAATGAAGTCTTGAGAAGGAGTTTATATGGTGCCAGGGTTGTGAACCCATTACAGGTCTTCTTGTTAGAGAGGCTGTTGTTATCAACTTGTCTGGGGACTTTAACTGAATGTACAAGGGGCTGGTTCATTAGGCTTAACTCGTATTGGAGAAGGAAAGTTTGATATAATTCAGAATTTATCATGTGTATCTGCAAGATATGTGGCAAACTTTTAGTCAAATCTACAAGGCTGTTGTACACAAATAATCATATGTGTTAGAAATGCACTTTTACTCAAGATATGTCTATGAATTTCCTATGTCAGTCTGACTCAGACTCTGACAAGTCAGAATGCAAGGTGATGTTTATGTGAAGAATAAACCTATTTCCTTTAGCATGTTGCAATTCATCTAGAAGCTCTGAAATGCATATGTGCATCTTTTTTTTTGGCATTCTTGTTTATTGTATCTGGTATTTTCTCTCCTCTATCATGAACTGTTTATAAATCAGTAATGCAGGGTAAAATGAAGAGTTGATAAATCTGATATCAAATACTTAATACCATGTTGAATGACACTGTGTGTGCACACCTTTATCCTTACCTGTGCACATAGGTTTAATACCAATCTATCTGAAATAGCACACTATGTTAGGGAAGAAGACTGTACAATAAAAGTGAACAATATTGAAATACTGGAATATCTTATAAACCAGAAACAAGAAATACCTTCTGCATTCACTTGACTGATAACACACTCAGTCAACCTAGTAGAGAAGCCAGCAAAATCTGGATACCACTCTTGAAACCATTAAACTTGTTGATTCAGGTCTTAATGGGAGAAATCATCGACAAATGGATGACACACCAACTTTTTTAACAAGAAGACCCAGGATTAAATCCTGGCCCCTACTGCCACATAGTCCTTTTCAGGAATTCCTTGTAGGCTGCAGCAGATTAGCAGCTGAGACATAGGATATAAACAAATTAGAAATTAGCATCTAGTAAAAATAATTTAAAAAGGTTTGTAATTAATTAACACTTAAGTGAGTGTTTAAGACTACTAGCCATAACAACAAGTTTTACATCTGTTTACCTGTCAATTGCAGTTCCTAAAGTGTTTGACAAGGTTAATAAAAATAATAATGCAATTTTTATATTTAATTTATATTAGACCAGACTGAGTGTATGTCGACCTTAACGTTTAATGTCTTGGTTGTAATTGTTACTAAAGTTGTAGGTGATACGGCACTTCTTTCCTTTCTGTTTTTTTTTTTTTTAAGTTTGATATGTTTATAGAGAGTTATTGTTTGCATTGAACTTTAATATTACACATTTTATACAAATATTTAACTCGGGCCTCGACAAATCCCGGGCGTCAGGTCTCCATGGCGACTAAAAATTTCATCGTTTCAGGTAGTATTTTCTCCCATTTTATTCATGTGTAGGGTTGTGTTAAATATAACTTTTATTCATGCGTAGGGTTGTGCTAAATAGAACTTTTGTTCGTGCGTAGGGCTGTACTAAATAGAACTTTTGTTCGTGCGTAGGGTTGTGCTAAATGGAACTCGAATCTAGAACAGTTCTGGACGCTTAGAAGTCCGGAACTACATTCGTGCTCTTTAAGTCCTAAATCGAACTTTGTTTCTACGATTTTAATGGCGGATTCAGTACTTCGTGATTTTTTCAGGAATGAAGCTCTGTGTTTGTACAACACATAACTAATTTCGCACCATTTTGTTTTTCTTCTTTATCTCAATTCAGTCAGTCAGTACGCGTGTTTCGACTCGTACTGGACCAAAGGCTGTTAGTTCAGGCAATACAATCAAATGGTTGTTGTTATCAAATGATCAGTAGCATACACTCGTTGCTGTGAAAGTGAATAAATATATACAGGTGCCTCGATTATCCGCAGTTGTCCGGCGAAAGCAAAAAATCGCTGATGACAGAAACAGCGGATAATTGAGGCACTAGTGTATCTCACTAGTTAGCATATTCTTTAATCTAAATCAGATCTTTATATATATTTAAGTTCATTATTTTAAATTATAATCTTTTACTGTCGTTTAATCACATTATCATGAAAAATTATGAACGTTATCATAATCATAAAACCCAAGTGTCGGTCGGTCAGTCAGTTGGTCACACTCAATTTCTCCGAATTTCGGGAGTAACACGAGTCCAATTCCACCTTTTCTCCTATAATTCTACCTCTTTTGATTGCCCGTTTCCGTTTTAGTTGAATTTAATAAGTGTAAAGAGTTCCTAAATTTTGGCACTTTTTCTGCCATAGGCACGGAAGTGCATTCACACCCTATCAACGCCTATGAAAAATAAGTAAAAATTTAGCGCAAGTCTATGCGTGGAAAAAAACCTTTGTTCAAACAGACTAAAGATACCAATTATCTGTAGGGAAGAGGACAATACGTAACTGGGCGACACCCCAACACAACCTGAATATGCATCTGTGTTGACGGCCTTGGTGCAGCATAGAACAGGGGACGACAACTGAAGTTGAGTGAAATTTTGATGTGTGTTTTTGTATACTATGTTTTAAATCACTAATCAAACAAAAATTAACCAAGCTACAAATATTTTGTATTCCTGTCTTAACAGCTAAAACTAAAAGACGCAAGGCTAGGCTTGAATAGGCCGACTTACGATTTGAACGCACCCTATTGACGCCAGATCCTGCACGCGAAAACCCCAGATATCATGCAGCACCTGAATGTTTGCGACAATTTGTCCAAAAAATGTAATTTATTATCTAGAATTGGAATGTCAAAATTATTTTGAGAAAATTTGTGGAAAAGAAAAAACCGCGGATAATCGAGGCACTAGTGTAGCTCCCATTTCCTGGTACAAACAGTTGTGAAGTTAAGCACACCTGGCTCCTGAGTTTTTGGGCTGGATCCTAGACCTAAAAATATTTGTCGAGACCTGATATAACTAATGTGCTATTTTTTTTATCTTTTTTAATATGCACGATGAATTTCATTCATGTTTTCAAATGGTCTCAACTTTTTTGTTTTTATTGTGATATGCTAAGGTTGTTCTTTAATAGGTGAATGGAGATCTTGTCATGTTGTTAACCATTTTAATGTTTTTTAGTCTTTGTAGGTTCCATATAAGTTATCTAAAAATAAAATAAAGCAACAAAACAGTTCTAATGATAAATTATTTAATTTTAAAAACATTACAGGAACCATAATGGAACCTTAAATAAAAGCAAAAAGGACAAAAAACATACTTTTAAATATTATTTTTATTTTCCCCTGAGCATAGCCTAGTGGTTAGCATATCAGTCTTAGGAACTGAGACATCGTTCTACCATTTCACATTTTCAGTTGGGTGCATTATAAGAGTAACAGTCAATCCTACTATTTGGTCAAGAGTAATCACTTAAAGTGACTGGTGCTGCCGAATAGTTCCTTTCTTTCTGGTATGCTGTTCAAAATTAGTGATGGCTATGTTTGAATCTCGCGGGTCTCTGACCTGGCTTTTTAGTACATTGTGTGTATAATGTGTCATCCAGGTATACAAACAATCCCTTTTTTTGCATGAGAACATATGTATCTGCTTAAAAACTTTGTATTAATTTTTAACAAATTTTAGATTTTAAATCTAATCAAAAACACCATAGGTGTGAGAAAAAGGTGCGGTCAAAAAAAAAAAAAAAGAATGAGCGAGCGACTTAAAAGAACGAAATCAAAATTGGCGGCCAAACTAGTAGCTACACTTGTAGCAAATACTCATTCATTAGTTAGCCAGGCCACACTTTTTGTTCAACTTGTGGCATGATGGTGGGTAGTATAGTAACTTGTTGTAGTTCAAGAGAAAAGGCCGTTTAATTCGTATTTTCGTAGGAAACTAAGACCTATTATGGGTAAAAAGGTTATAGAATAAAAAAAAAGCAAGTTTTGCAGTGCATAATATGACACCTTTGAGTTGTGACCCATTTTTGACTAGTTGGACTTTATTGCCTAAACTATTTTGACATTATCACAGAAATTTAATGTGTAAAGGACACTTGATCAGTATTTTATGAGAAAAATGGTGTAGAATTCACAATGGTTTTTTTTTATTCTAAGTCAGCAATGGGTCATTATAAGTAATGGCTCATTTGTAACCAGAAAACAGAAGCTAAATTTTTTGAAGGTTCAATGAATGTAAACTTGTACAAGTTATTTATCTAATTTGTTAGTAAGAAATAATATCTTGGTCCATTTTAGAAGTCTTCAAATCGCCAGTTTTGAGTCATGGTCCATTTTATACTATCATGTATAGTGCTTAAAATACATTCAATTGCCAAACAGCAGTACACTCAAAACTATTCCAGGTGTCAAATAGTCATAATGTAGCTTAAGTAAGAAATTTGTGTCTTTTGTTTTAGCTCTGTTGTATTTGTTTGCTTTGACATGTGCAGGTTTATATTTCAAACTTATGATATTTCTTGTAAGAAAAACGTCAACAAGGATGCACTAAAAACTATAGCTAATCTTTATTCACCTGGTTTTAGATTAGTCATTAATATTCATTACTAGACATGGATACCCCATCATCTTCATTGCCGTCACTGGAGTCATGGGATATTTCTTCATCGAGTTCATATCTAAATTGCATTTTTAATTGATCGCAATCAAACCATTTTATTGCATAATGCCCATCTGCTATCCTTGTTTAGTTGGATCTGTGATTGCCAATTGCTTGTGAAAAATTTTCCATATCTATGCCACATACTTTGCACAAAGAAGTTTCTGGTGCAGTTAGCTTTGTAAGGTGGCAGCATTCCAAGATCCACTCTTTATTTTCTCAAAAGGTACATTTAAATTTTTGGGCCTATACAAAAATGCGCAATCTAGCATCATTAACAGAAGCCCGTTTGAATTGTCCATACATGGTACACACAAATGTTTCTAGAGTCTCCGATGAATTATGGGCCAGGTTTACATTTTCTCCTAGGTCCTGAAGAGATTTGAGAAAGTTTTTATGCTTCACAGCAATGTTCAGTGGTCGTAATTTGTCCTTCCTCAGAAAACTCCAACAGTAGTCACATCCAGTGAGGATGTGATAGCCCGGAAGTGCTTTGCATAGCTCCTTGCCTATGGTTTCGGCCAATGTTGATATATCAATATAGCGTCGAGTATTATTGTAAAAATGACCAGGTAACTGGGAAATGCTGCTTTGCGTGGTTCAAAAGAATCACCAGCTCATCTTTGTCATTCAATCGAATTATAACAGATTTGTTGTAATTTTCCACCAATTTCTGAACGTGAAAAACCTGGTGTCAACTTCTGTGTAGTTTGACTGATAATTTTTGCAGCATCTCGAAAAATGGCAGTGTCTTGCACAGTGTACAAGTAGGCCCCATGTCTGTGTGCAACAATCGGCCTTTTCTCCTTGAGTATGGAAGTATATTTTGACCTTAGCCACTCATCGATGAGAAAAATAAGCAGTGCTATTTTAAACTTAGAGGATCTCAAACTGCTTGTAAAATATTTTGGCCTTGTCTGTTCAGCTCCAGTAATGTTGTTCACAGCTGCTGAGTTTGCTCCCTTCACCTGATGCTGGCAATCCTTTACAATGCTCTTCTATGTGTCACACACGAAATGAACTTCTCGACAGGAAGCTTTGAATACAATTGACAGGATCGTCTTGCAACATCTCCAATTTCTGATGGTAAGTTGGTCAAAGACTGTAATATAAACATGGCATCGGAAATTGTAGCATCAACTTCATCAAAAAGAGGATCTGTGCTGTGGTTTTTTCTCCAAATGTTCTGTCAAGACTGTATTATTTGTAGAGTTCTTAATGCCATAGAAAGTGGTACTGCTGTCAGTGGATGTTACACTACAGTACTTATATCAAGTTTCTTGGTGTATGACAAATACAACATATATCCTAAGAGATCCCTTGTGTTTCTTAAGACAAGTTTTTAATTGCAACCTTTGTTCTCGTTGGATATGTCTGAAAAAACAAACAAAAAACAATTTGTACTTAGATTGCAAATGCTCTTGTTACAATCATATAAAAATAATGCTTTGTTCTCTATAATATAGGCTATTTACTGATGATCTCATCAAAGGCTTAATCTTCATTGTGTTCTGAGATTCTAGTTCCTTCTGTACTCTCATGGAAAACTTCAGAATTATGATCAGGCTCCATGACTATAAAACAACATATTTCAACAAACAACACTCTACCAAATTCACGAAATAATTGTCACAAAAAACATAATGATTTTCAGAGTGGCAAGTTATACAGTTATTCAAGTCAGTGGAAAATAACACCCAAAGTTGTTATATTATGCATATGTGATGTGATAGAAATACGAATTTTTGGACCAAAAATGGGCCATTACTCTTAATAATTGACCCACTACAAGAGTATTTACAGTTGTAACACCATTTTTCTCATAAAATACAGATTAGTTTTGCTTTCATTTCTTTTGCAAATATATTTCTGTGATAATACCAACACAGTAGGATACAAAGCGCAACGAACGAAAACGCCAATTTTCGGGTCAAAAATGGGCCATAACTCAAAAGTGTTTTTGCACTGCAAGATTCACTTTTCTTTTATTCCACGACTTTTTTTTAATCTTAATTTCCTACGAAAGTATGAATTAAATGACCTTATTTTCTGTACTATTGTATTTATATCCTCACATGATTTTAATATGATTACCAGTTAACGAAGAAACAATTAAGTGACTCGTGATGAAAGAGTCTGAAAATATTATGTTGTTAACATACAGACATGGTTTGAAATTAGTATGATATTAACATCAAACATACTTGGAAAGTATAGCGATATATATATATATATATATATATAAACGACCTATCATACATTAGTCAGTGTTAACATGTGATGACATTTTAATAATAGAACAAGTATGATGATATTTAATATAACGGGTTATTAAAATACAGACTGTTGAAAGAGTGACGATATCTTGACATTAAAAGTACAGACAATATTGAACATGTTATGACATAGTCATATTAAAGATACAAAATTTGTATGTTAAAGACAGGTTTCATGAAATAAAGTGTTGAAAAATGAACGACATTTTAACAACATTAGATAATTTATACGTTGACAGGTGAAAGAGAAATGAATGATAGTGAAAGTGTGATGATATCCCAGCATGTAAATAACCGGAAACGTTGACAGTCTATTATCTTAATCTATTTGAGAATCTCATGAAAAAGGTAAATATAGCAGGTATCACGTAAACAGGCTAGATTCATTTTTGGAATGTAACTTCGTTTATATGGTGTCTTGTGAACAGAAAACAAATCTCAGATAAAAAGAAAAAAAGGCATGACAGGAATATGCAGTCTTATGTGAAAATTGTGTAAACGTATTTGTTTAATTAAAGGTTAGATGCATGACAACAGAGGAAATTCTGTTTGAAATTTGTCACCAAATTATTTCATTTATGTGTAATAAGAATAATGAAAGCTTAAACATTCCACGTTGTGCTTTTAAATGAGAGCGATTTATTCACAATATTAGCCTACTAGCATAAATATTGTTACATTTATTTTGTGTATTTTTTACATTTACTAATATGGAAATGTGTATAAAAGAAGGAATGTAAATCTATTTATAGAAATGTGCCTTTTCGTGAATGCAATTTTTCTCTTCCAATAAACATAGATTTATACCATATGGTGAGTGGTTGATTTTATCATCAAATCATTTATATTATTTCAATACATTCTAGGTTCGTTCATCCCCATACACACTGTACACCAATCTGGTTGCCTTCCTAGTTTTGTAATCAGAGTTTAACTTTTTTGTTCATTTTATTTTTTCCTGATAAGATTTCGTTTATACTTGTATTATATAACGTAGTTTTTGCAGAGTTTTATATTTTTTTTATAATTTTAATGTATCTATATAAGTGTTTTTTACCATGTGGTTTAAGTAAGTTACACAGGCTTCTTTCAAAATATATTTGTATGGTATTTTGTTTATTTCAAGGTAAGCAAGCCTAAGGCAATTTTGTAAATATAGATGGGGAAATCTAAGGACTCTTTGTGAACCATTCGCTACTGGTATAATACATTATTCCGTAAAAGTGGCATTTAATAAGAAATGGATTACTCTTACTACGTCGTTGCTTTCCAGTCAGAACAGCGTAACATATACATCATATAAGCAAAGGCTTGAAATATAGCAAGTTTATGAATCAAGGTCTTGGCACTAGATAAACAGCTATATAGGCCTACTATTCTATACACCTGGAAAAAAGTTAAGCACCCCCGTGTTTTTTTCAAGTGATTCAGATTCGACGTTCTTGTGACTGATTATAAATTACCATTCAATCTAAACGTGTTTATG